TGAAGCAGACGACCGGATCGTCCTTCTGGCGAGGGAAGGTTCCCTTTAGTTGGTCCCGGCCACCTTGACGACTCGCGTCCGCCTTCCTCCCCTTTGCACCGGGAAGGCAAGCGCAGACTCAAATATTTTCTCCGTCCTCAGGTGCTGCATCGTCCTCGGAGGGTTCCGATGCACGCGGCCACGTTGGTGTGTTGCTGGGTGTTGAAGTGCACCTCCAGGTACCGCGCGACCTTGAGTGAAGACAGGTCGTCCTCCTCCGTGGCTGGCATCACATCTTGAAGTTCTTGAGCCAGCTGTAACATTATTTCGAGGACCAGTGAGTTTCTCCCCACTTGGTCCATCCCGGGATATTCCGATTTTGCCAGCGCCAGAAGCGCAAAGCGGAAGGCGAGGAGCGTCTCGGCCTCCCCCCACCTTCACGTGGTGAACTTCTGGTGCTTGTTTGATGGAGGAGCAAAAATCGCCCCCATCTGAGCAGGGGCTTGGGACAGCATGGACTTGTCCTCGTCCGGGATGGCATGGAAAGCCGCCAAGGCATCGTCATCCAGCGCTGTGGGACGCGCCCACAGCGCCTCATTCTCCGTCCACCCCGAAAGATCGCAGGCGGCGGCGAAGCGGCGTCGGAAGGCTTCCCAGTCGCCACTCCAAGCCGCAAACTCCCGGACGAACGGAAGCCTCTTCTTGAGAGCTAGGTCACCTTACAGAACAAGGTCGGAATTTTTCTTCTAAATTATTAAAGGAGGTGTGCGACTCCCTGGATACTAAAAAGATCCAGACATCGCCCTACCATCTCCAGACTGACGGGATGGTAGAGCGCTTGCACAGTACGTCCATGCTGTGCCAACAGGTTATCGAGGCACAGTTCTTCTTCTTCTTCCTAGCGTTGTTCCCGCTGTGGCGCAGGGTCCGCTTTTCGGCATTGTCTTCTCCATTTGGCTCGGTCCAGGGCATCTTCAGGGGATGCGTTGACCGTCTTCATGTCTTCCTTTATTCGATCCATCCATCGCTTCTTCAGACGTCCGCGTGGACGGCGGCCTTCTGGCACAGTCTGACTGGGATTTGTACGTTCCGGGTGTTCTGGCCGCGTATAGGATGGCCCCTCACGCCTCAACGGAGTTCTCCCCCTTTTTCCTCATGTATGGGAGGGAATGTGATACCCCCATGGAAGCACAGTAAAGCGTGGACCTGGGCAAAAAGAAGGTCGCTGTGCCCATGCCCATGCAGCTTACGATCAGGCAGCTGATGGAATCGCGGGAGGCGTCTCGGGGAAATTCAGCCAAACGGAAAGCCACCAATGATAAGCTTGTGGGACTCCGTGAATCCAGAAACCCATGGACCGCTTCTTCTGGGTTTTCCCTGTTCTTCCTAATGTATGGAAGGGAGCATGACCCACCAATTGATGCACAGCTCAAGCCACTACAAAATTGTAAAAAGATATTGAACCCCATGCGTCTTACCGTACAGCGTTTGGCAGAAACTAGGGAGGCGTCTCGGGGGAACTCGGCCTTACGGCAGGTGGCCAGCGAGCGGCGCGTCAAGCCCCGCCAGTCCACAACTATATGGACGCCTAGGGACCTCCCCGAAATTACACAAACCATGGCAGGACCTGGCCGAAGTGGTAGAGGTGAGGAGTCCGCAGTGCGTGCGGGATCAGTGTGGCCGCCACCGCTGGTTTGTGTACCCGTCGCGGCTAAAAGTTTTTTTCCACCTGCCGTTAGTCTTTCATCTCCATTTCCCGAGGGCTGGGTGTCTGGTCAGTCCAACGAGCTGGGGCCCGCGTCAGCTGATGTCCTTCCTCAGGACAATTCTATGGTTCCGCCCACAGGGTCCAAGTGCCTAACGCCCCCAACGTCGCCGGTAGTGCCGGCACGGGGTGGACGGGGGAGTCCTGAGCTGCCATCGCCCGACCCCCCACTGCTTGGCGGTTCTTCGCCTCGGGAGGTGCCGTGCTCATCGAGTCGTCTTCCGGCTGTTCCTGGAACCTCCCTCGCTTGACGGCCCGGCATCAAAGACTTGGGAAAAGACGTCTCGATTCAAATGACGATCCTCCGGCGTCTAAGTGCACCTACACCCGTGGTCCGCGGGCGCCGCTCAGTGCCAGATGGGACAATGGCTGATGGCTGATCCGGGATCATCTTGTGCTCGGGCGCGGCGTCACATGTACAGGGTGTAGTGTGGGCTGTCCGGGGGGATGGGTCCGCCATTGTAAATAGTTGCAACTTTTGTTTCCCCTTCCCTCCAGTCCTGTATATAGTGTAAATATTGCTTTATTCTTGAATTTAAGCTTTCGTGACTGCAGGAATCCATACTCTTTGGTTCTTTCAGTAAAGTCACGTAGGTAGAAAAATAATAGATCACGACGTTTCGATCGCAACACGAGCATTCGTCATCAGGTTCGTTATCAGGTGGGACAACCACAGCAAGAAAAGACTGCTGAAGTAGGCGAGAGGTTTGCCGTGGCACGAGGTTATATAGGACTTGGCAGCAGGAGGGAGAGAGAAGTGGGGGGGAGGCGGGGCAGAAAGTGGACCCCGCAGCACCCCTTCCACTTCTCTCTCCCCCCCCCCCCTACTGCCGAGTACTATATAACCTCGTGCCACGGCAGATCTCTCGCCTACTTCAGCAGTATTTTCTTGCTGTGGTTGTCCCACCTGATGACGATTGCTTGTGTTGCGATCGAAACGTCGTGATCTATTATTTTTCTACATACGTGACTAGAGTATTGTTTTATTTCTCTTTCGGGATTATTCTTTATTGTTGTTATTGTTCTTGTTATGTTGCGTTAAAAGTTGGAGGACCACACGTTGCATGGGTAATACATGTCGGTCAGCCGGGATGGCTGAGTTTCATAAAGGGGGGTGGGGGGCGGTGATGTCGAGACGTAAATAGCGTCTCTGCGGCGTATAAGCCGACTACAACCACAACTGTTGAATGAGTGTGCACTTACCTCTCGAAGGGTGGCCAACGGAGACGTGGCAGGGAAGCAGGCCCTACTGAGCAAGGTCCTATCGGGCAATGCACTATCAGAGTAATGAGAGCTCGGGGTCAGCATCTACATCATGAGACCTCCTTTGCCAGTACCAAAATATGATAATAGGGTTTTCCCCTTTTTTCTGGCAACAAAACAGGTGTTAAGATGTTAAAACACCAAACTGAAACCTTTTACAAGGAATCATGTCTGCATTTTGTTGCCAGAAAAAAGGGGAAAACCTATTATCATATTTTGGTACTGGCAAAGGAGGTCCCATGATGTACATGCTCATCCTCCAGCTCTCATTACTCTAATAGTGCATTGTCTTTAGGCTGTATGCCTTTTGGCGTTCTCTGGTCTCACACCGTTTGTGACCAGGCTCAAAAGAAAGCTGTCGCTGGTGTGGCTCAATCAGTTTCATGGACAATGCATATTTTATCAGAGTATGTTTTTTGTTTGCATTCTGACCACACGCATTGTGGTTAATGCAGACATGATTCCTCGTAAAAGGTTTCAGTTTGGTGTTTTAACATCTTAACACCTGTTTTGTTTGCCAGAAAAAAGGGGAAACCCCTATTATTATGAATTGAGCCGTTTGGCTTTGATTAAAAAAAAATGGCTTTTTATTTAAAAAATAAAATCCCCAGATGCCATCACCAAATTGCTAGAAAAGTAATAGTAATTTGGCAAGCATTGGCTGTAGGGCCTTCATGAAATGTTCTTGAAAACCTAATTTTATATTTGGCTGGGTAAATATTTGTTTTAATATTTTAATTGCTATCATTGGGGCGTACGTGACAGCCCACTGTGTGAATGTGGAGAGCAGTAAATCTTGGCGTACATCGTCTCCGGCTGTGAAGTCCGTCAGGGCGTGCCGGGCGGATTGGTCGTTGCCCTGCACGTGCTGGAGGAGAAGGGAGGCTGTCACGTGGCTCTGTAGTTACGTGGGCGGACGTCCACTCACAATATAACATTGACATACATTTGCATTTATTTAATTATGTTTGTGTATCTGGTGCTCTGTGTAAAAGTCACGTGTAAAAGCATTCACTAAATAAATTGAAATTATTAATTGTAAAACATTCAATATCAACAATAACATTATTGGTGTGTACATTTCAGTCCAATAACGGATCAGCTTGCTGGAGTTAAAACACCTCACTTGTTTATTAAAATGATAGGTAATCTCAAATTCGAATTACCACAAAGTTAAAGGTGCAGCTCTAAAAGTGCTTACACATACCACTGCTGGAGGAAGGGCATCCAGTAGAGGGAGCTCTGGAGAGCCGCTTTAGAGGGAAATTCTGGCCGACTCGTCCACACTGTCCAGATGTCTTAGAGAAGATGGGAGTACCCACACTTCACACCACCACATGCACCTGTGGTGTAGCCATTTACTGCTGGGTGGACAGAGGCAGTGGGGGACTCAAAGACATTTTCCCATCGATGTCAAACATTGTACACAAAGTTCAGGCCTGTCAGTTTATAGCTCAAATGCTCCAAGAGCATCAGTCAGTTGTCCTCAAACCCCATCAGATGAGGCTGTAGACTTCACCAGAAAGGAGTCTCTATTACTGTATCAGCTTATATCTTAGTGACATAATCAGACGTATGTAGACATAGTAATATCCACAGAAAAGAGGCATAGGCGGTTCAATTTCAAGCCCATATTCTGCTATCCATTGCTAGTCACAGCGACACGTGCACAGTGCCGTCATTTATAAGGACGAGACCAAAGCACTAAGCCACATCATTCCAACTGGTAGCGTTGTAGTGTGTTATAGGCTTTATTTTTAAATGGGATTAAACGCTTGGTAGTGTGCCACGTGATTTTTTTTATATGGGATTGAAAACGAAACCAGTGGCATCCTATTCCGGTCGGAACGGCGTGGCTCAGCGCTTTCCTTGGCGAATGTCAAACGATCACAAAACGTCCCATCGAGCTTCACTTTGGGGTTATGCGATTGAAAATCACAGCGGCTGCATGCGATTGTGTGGTGGCGGCAGACAGAGGCAACCGGTTCCACGTGGTGCTGCGTTTGGCGCGGAGCGCTACAAACTCTGGGCGCGGGGCAGCAGTGGAGAGGCCGCTCGCTCGCTCGCTCGTCTGCCGCTGTTTGCTCCACGCCGGTCGTAAGTGCCAAACGTGGCTCGCCATGGGGCTGATTCGCTTCTACGCGAGTCCAGAGCGCGGCTTGTGGAGCAGGAAGATCGTGAAGAGCGCGGAGGCGGCCGCCTCGCTGGAGGCGGTGAGCGGCACCGCCGCCACGGAGCTCTGCTACAATGTGGAGTGGGAGGGTGAGTGAGGCAGCTTCAGCAGCAGCAGCAGCCATGGTCAGTCCACTGCTGGATGTGAACGCCTGCCACAGAGATGCCACCACGCGGTACTGTATTCTCCACCACTCGGGAGACAAAGGCGGCCCGGTGTGGTGCTGTCCACCCACCCCTCGTGTGCCGTGCCGGCCTTCGTAGGTGCTACTCGCTAGCAGCACTTGCCCCGACAGTCTGTGAAGGCTACACGGGGATCATTGTCTTTTTATGCACACAACACAACTCTTCCAGTACGTCTGATTAACTTATACAGTACAAGTCTAGGTCACAGACACACGTGCCCCGTATAGCCTTAACAGCGCCACGCTCGCACCAGGAACTCATTTGAGGCTGAGTCGACCTAGGGAAGGTCCAGGACCGGTTCAGATAATCGCCACCGGTGTTGGCCGTGAGCGGGAATCGAACTCGGGTCGCTGGGTTCGCAGTGCAGCGCGCTAACCACTACACCACCGCTCCCCACAGACACGAACATCAATCGGGTTGCACCCCCCCCCCCCCCAATCTTCTGCTTTGAACACAACCGGCAGAAGTGCGTGCGAATGGTGGACCGATTAGCACGGTTGGCTATGTACGGTGCGAAAGAAGTTATATATACACTACAGCCGTGTTAATCGAAGGTGCGAACATAATCTGGTGCCATCCGATTTGGTCGCTCCATCTCCTCTTCGACGCGTGCCATTCCTTGGCCTCCACTCCGTCACTAATGTTGACCATCGGCCACCACCGTCCCTTCTCTCCAGCGGTCCTGCCCAACCCCCCTTAGGGTCCTGAACTTTGTCAATGTTGTCTTCACCCTGCGGATGTCCTCTAATCCACGTGCGCCTCTTTCTATCAGCATCATTCCGAGCGTGCGTCTCTCCGTCACCTGCCGAGGAGATGGAGCGATGAAATCGGCTCGTGGCAGGGGCTAAGGGGGCATTGCCACACCGCAGGATCGTGAGAGATGGTGGCGGCTTGGGGAGACACGGTGGCGAGATGGGTGCCATGGTGGCTAGGAGATGTTAACTTCCTCGCCTGGTATACAGCAAATCGTGGGTTCAATCCCGACATTGACGATGCCTGCTGTGTATTTAGAGTTTGTGTCTCTTCTCTCCCCTTGGTCACGTGGATTTTTCTCCGGGACCTTCGGTTTTTCCCTCCACATTTAGAAGCATGGCTTTAGAGTATCTGGCTTGGCTGCTGCTATAAATGTCCACGTGATGATGGGCCACTTAGTTGAGCTGTCATTTGTGGCCAGGTCGCTTCTGAAAAGAAGCTTCAAAGCTCAGTGGGGCCTTACCTGGTGATGTTAAAAATAGACCTTCATCCAGCAGTGGATTCACCAAGGCTGGTGATGAAGGTCCCAGGGTGGCACGTGCCGTCAGTTTTTTATGTTGTTTGGCAGCACCGTGGACGCAATGTTCCTAGACGATCTGGGCTCTCTGTTTGCGGATGGAGAGTTGCATCAATTGTTCCCGCACTGCACTTTGAACCGATTGAGTGATTGGCCACGGCTGACATCAGTGGCGAGTGCTATTTAAATCGATATTTCCCCCCCCCCCCCTTCAACTTTCATTCACCAGCGTAGTGAAGTACGGTCAAACAACCCCCTCCCCCCCCACCATCAAAATGTATTGCCTCGGGAGACCCTCATCCAGCAGTGGATTGTCCAAAGGGCTGAACACATCTTTAGTTTATTGTGCTCAACCGTTATGTATTTAAAGGCGATTCTGACCTTTCCAATGAAACTTGGTAGGGTTAAGAATGTGTCTCTGAACGACTGACTGTGATTGTAATGCTGTGGAATCCTCCCCCCCCCCCCCCTTCACGGTCACTGTCGCACAGGCCCCGAGGCGCCAACGGCCGAGGAGAGGCGCAAGCTCCTCTGGCTCTTCCACCCCATGCTGGGCGGCCCGGCCGCGTCGAGCCAAAGCTGCCTGAACCCTGAAGGGAACGACTGCCTCATCGAAGTCGGACCCAGGTCGCGTGTCCACCGGGGGCACGACGGCCGTGCCAGGCCCAAGCTAACCAAGCAAAAGCTTAGAGGGGGCCCCAAGCAGCTCAAGGGGCATCCACATCCGTGACAAAAATAGGGGTGCATCGAATAAAAGGGAAATTCCATCCTCAAACTTAGCGAGCTAATTCATATAAGACGCCAATTACTGTAATCTGCTTGTCTGCTTCTCTCATCTCGCCACGTGTATATGTCTGTCTCTGTTTCCCTCCTGTCGCTACAGCTATATCTCTTGCCTCTATCTTTTCTGTCCTCTCACTTGCAGTTTATCAGTTGAAGGGGACCCTGAATATAATCACTGATTAGGGCTGGTGCCATCACAGCCAAGTTCAATATTCTCGGTGCTTTAGAGTCGTGTATTTTACTGCGTCTGGGCCGGCCTCCACGAGGCCACCCAGGCCCCTCGAGCCCTTTCATCCTCCTGGAATGTCACAACACAACTTGGGATTGGCCCAATGCCACGCACTCGCCTTCGGCAGTACTTTTTCAATCAAGAGTCTGGTTGATAACAGCTGGTTGGTGTCGAAGTCAATTCCTGCCAGCCAGTATCAACCAGAATCACCATGGGAACGCATTACATTGGTATCAGCCATATTATTCGGTGGCAAATCCACTTTTCTGGCTAGGTCCCCATGCCCTATTCCTGCCTTGAGCCGGGCTGTGGTGGCTCCGCTGCACGTGGCCTGTAGTCCAGCGCTGTGTCGGCACTAGCAGGAGGTGTCCCTTATTCCTTGCTCCCTGTGGTTACGGAGATTTTTCTCCGGGTCCTTGGGTTTTTCCCTCCACATTTAGAATCAACTTACGTTTAAAATATTTGGTGACTATAAAGTTGCACATAAGCCACTTGAGCTGTCATTTGTGGCCAGGTTGCTTCTGAAAAAGAGTTATATACAAGTACCTGGTAAAATACATAGTTTAGTTTAGAAAGCGTTACAGCAAAATGTAGACTAATCTCTATCTTTCCCATTTGTATAGGATATTCGATTTTAACAATCCAACCACAATACCAGGTTGGGAATGTATGTTGAACTTATTTCGCACCAACCGTAGCCAATCGTGGTTTGAATTGACCAGCTGTAATGGGTACGTGACCTTGATTTGTGCCTTCCCCTGTGAATGCGTGGCTGCGGTCTTCGTGACGTGTCGGTTCACAGGCTCAATTTCTCCACCGCTTGGTCGACCAACGCGGTATCCATCTGCCACTCCATCGGGCTGCATCACGTGAAGCGAATTGAATGCTCGCAGCGCCATCTCTTCAAGGTGCATCCCTCTCAGTGGTGAAGCTGCTGCTTGTGTTTTAAGATTCGATTTTAACTTTGTGGTGGGTGGGGCGGCTCGTCAGGGTGATGCCGTGTCGTTGAAACTGAGCTGGCATCGCTGGGACTCGATGGTCGATGTCAGCCGCACGTGAATACACATTGCTTCTCAAGAGTAATCATTAAAATGTATAAAGTACCCTTAAATAATCGAGTCAATCTCCTGCCCAATCCCCCTTAGGATTCTAAATATTGTAATTAATTTCACCCTGCGGATGTCATCTAATCCACGTGCGCCTGTTTTGATCACATTCCGAGCATGTGTCTCTCCGTCAACAAATAAATTACGGTCAATTTAATTTTCTTCGAATCATCACAACTTTGGAGAATAACAGTATTTTCCGTACATTGCCATATATCCATTTTTTGGGGGATCTGGCAGAGGAAAGATCTGGCAGAGCAAAGGAAGCATTGGTGAGGTGTGGTGGTGGCATCGATAGCTTTGGCCATGATGATATCTTGATCATGATGATTTAAGTAGCGTCACAATACGATATCCAAACTTCTTGGCCAGTTGATTGCTTTTATTCAAAGATGAGTTGCGTGTGTGTCACCCATACCTCCTGGTAGTGTCTGTCATGCACAGGAGTTTCGGTGCGTTCCATTGTTTTGCGCCTGCTCCGGTGTTCGTGGTTCACGGGGATCTGCGCCTTGCGTCCTCCCTCAGTGTCACCGGTTTGGTGCTCTAAGCCAGGACGGCGGAGTAGAATGCCACCAACCTGTTCATTCACTTCGGTCCCAGAGTCAGAAAAAAACTGGGAAGATACCATCTGGTCGTGCAGCTTTTTCAGCTTGGATTGGCAGCTACTGCATCATTTATTTCTGTACCTGGTAGGGGTGGTAAACATTGCCACTGTGGAAACAAAGGCGACCGGGCATGGTGTTGGCCACCCACTCCCTTCGTGTGCCGTGCCGCCCTTCATAGGTGCTCGCTAACAGTGCTCGCCCCAATAGTGTTTTCAGGCTATATGGGGGTCTTTTGCCTTTTGTGCTGTGGCTGCTGGTGAATGAGCACATTGTTGTGTAGCGGCCCGGCTCAGCCCATGGCAATGCAGCATCTTGAGACGTGGTCGCATTTAGACGCTGTATGAATACACACGTTGTGTAGGGCGCGGGGCCCGGGTCACATTGAGTGCCGCCGCATTTGCTACGCCGTGCAGTTTGCTGCAGTTGCTCATCGAGCAGTTTCAGGCATTGCACACAGAGATTGAACGTTGCAAGTGTTTCATAAACAAACGGCAGCAAGTTATTCCGATTGGGCCATCGGTGTCTCGTCTTGAGATGCAAGAATCCATTCAGAAATTGCAAAACGATGCGACCCTTCGTGTTAGAGAGCTACTTCTGAGATCCTTTGAAGTGAGCTGTGGCCCGCTCGTGGATATTTACGAATGTATTCGGTTTTTCGTGGACCAGAGTTCACTTGAAGTAGTGGCCATCAGTTACCCACCCTGCCACATGACAGTAATGTTCATCACATGACGAGCCGGTATTTTTTATCCTGACAGCCGTAATTTAGCCAAATTAACAGCAGAACCGATTTTTAATTATGAGGTTTTTTTCCTACAATCATTGTGAACGGGCTGAGACCAGCAACTCGTTCCACTTTAGAAGCCGGTATAACCGCGTGAGTCCGGCACGCGATTAGCCTCCTAATCCACCCGGCCACTTCTGCGCAAAGCAGCTCCACTACCGCTTTTTCCACTGCACAACCGAGCCGCGGCGGGTCAGTGCTGGGACCGGCACTGGGTTGCTGTTCATCGCCGAAGCCGAGCCGTGCTGATCAAATCTCACGCAACGAACGTGCAGAGATGCGCGTAGGCAAATGCGTCGTTGGCCTCGCTCCTTGGCCCTGTTTGGCCCCGAATACAATTCCGACGCCTCGCGAAGCTGGCGTGTCACGGATCGGTTCCGCCTCGGCACGCGCAGGTCCATGGCGAGGAGGCGGTGGGCGAGCAGGCCCGGCGCGTGCTGGCGAGCGGCCTGCACGACCGCACGACGGAGTGCGTGTACGACCATCCGCTGGGCTCCTTCGCGCTCAGCGTCCGCACGGAGCCCGTGTACTGACGTCGACGTCCTGGGAGAGGGACGCGCCGCCCTGGAGAGAGCCAACCGCGAGCTGGGTACGCTTCTCACCGCAAGCCCCATACAGTCGCTCGTTCTGGCTCGCAGGCCGGGCGCTCGGTCAGACTGCGCCGTGCAGGGACGACTGCCACTGGGGGTGCCCTTTCTCTTGTTTGAGATGACATTCCATGTAAATAGATTCCTGATCTGTAAAGCGCTGAGATGCCCCGTTCTTAAGGGCACTCTCAAAATCACGTTATAATTATGTATTTTTCATATTGATTGTGCTGATAGTGCAGCAGAGTTGCTGCAGCTGGATCACCGGCGTGCTCAGACAAGCACGTTCCAGTGACCCCTGCCAGTGTCAGGGCCTTCGCTCCCCCACACAGGGGATGACTCTGGATAGCATCACGTGACGAAGTCAACCAGGCATCCCTTCTACTGGCACCTCACAACGTCATAACGCGCTGTGGCTTGTGTGCCGAGTGGGTCAGAGGTCAGAATAGTGAGATTGCAACGCTGAGATCCTGGGTTCGGACTGAGGCAGCTGCCTGTGAGTTAGTTGATGGGCACTGCCCCTTCGTAGCGTTAATACCATGAAAAGGGCCATTGCCAAAAAAGTCGCTTATTGATTACGTTTCCTTACAAGGCCACAGTGTTATTGACGAATGTGTTGCGTTTTTTGTTATTTGTGCACCACTGCCAATTTCAGCAGTAACATCACAGAATATAATTTGTTTCATCATTAAATTCGGGAACCTACCATAATTTGACGTAATCCATCTCTGATGGTTACATTCTCAGTTTAATTGACATGCGACAAACATTGTCTGCAGGGCATATCAAGGTATCAAGCAGTGTGCACAAGTGTAGTGACATAAGAAGGGAGGGGCTGCTGTAGGCTCTGGGTTCCCAGGTGGGTCCAGACGCGTAAGCCTCTCGGCGCCAGGCACTGGGTTCCCAGGGGGTCCAGACGCTTTTAAGCCTTTGGGCGCCAGGCGTTGGGTTCCCAGGCGCTTAAGCCTTTTTGGCGCCGCCAACGGCGGGGGGGGGTTGTGTGTGCTCTGTGGGATGTCTGGTGGCGCACACGGCCCCACCCCTCGTCGGACCAGGCATAAAAGGAGAGCTCCCTGGACGATCGGGGCCCAGTTGTAACTCAAGACCCAAGACCCACGGCCAGCCATCTGAAGACCCTGGGATGCTGTGAGAGCCAGTGGTGGGACTCTGGAACTCCCGACTCTACGCCTTGTGAGGGCGAGCGTAGCCAGAGTAGAGTATCTAGAGTATCTAGGCTGTGTAGCTAGGCTGTGTACCTAGGCTGTAACAGAGTATCAGGACTGTTGGAGTGTTGTATTGTAATAAAGAAGTTACATCTACAAGTGTCTCCGGAACCCGTTACACAAGTAATAAAGGATCGATCCTGAATGTACGTGGCGCGAGGTGTTTTAGCGAGGACAAACCTAGAATCGCTCCTAAGTCTGGGAAATGTCCTCGGCTCTGAAAGGCACTCAACCTGGTGCCGGTCGCTTTGTTGCTAGGGACACCCAAACACGTTTTAGTTGCTGTGACACAACGGCCAACGGCTACCTGTGACCTCTCCCGGCTGTCTGTGACCTCTCCTGGCTGCTTGTGACCTCTCCCAGCTACCTGTGACCTCTCCCGGCTGTCTGTGACCTCTCCCGGCTGTCTGTGACCTCTCCCGGCTGTCTGTGACCTCTCCTGGCTGTCTGTGACCTTTCCCGGCTGTCTGTGACCTCTCCGGCTGTCTGTGACCTCTCCGGCTATCTGTGACCTCTCCCGGCTGTCTGTGACCTCTCCCGGCTGTTTGTGACCTCTCCCGGCTGTGTGTGACCTCTGCCGGCTGCCTGTGAACTCTCCCGGCTGCCTGTGAACTCTCCCGGCTGCCTGTGACCTCTCCCGGCTGTCTGTGACCTCTCCCGGCTGTCTGTGACCTCTCCTGGCTGTCTGTGACCTTTCCCGGCTGTCTGTGACCTCTCCGGCTGTCTGTGACCTCTCCCGGCTGTCTGTGACCTCTCCCGGCTGTCTGTGACCTCTCCTGGCTGTCTGTGACCTTTCCCGGCTGTCTGTGACCTCTCCCGGCTGCCTGTGACCTCTCCCGGCTGTCTGTGACCTCTCCCGGCTGTCTGTGACCTCTCCTGGCTGTCTGTGACCTTTCCCGGCTGTCTGTGACCTCTCCGGCTGTCTGTGACCTCTCCCGGCTGTTTATGACCTCTCCCGGCTGTGTGTGACCTCTGCCGGCTGCCTGTGAACTCTCCCGGCTGCCTGTGAACTCTCCCGGCTGCCTGTGACCTCTCCCGGCTGTCTGTGACCTCTCCCGGCTGTCTGTGACCTCTCCCGGCTGCCTGTGAACTCTCCCGGCTGCCTGTGACCTCTCCCGGCTGTCTGTGACCTCTCCCGGCTGTCTGTGACCTCTGCCGGCTGTCTGTGACCTCTGGGCGGTGACGTGGGCCAGGCCTGGCGCTGGATGAGTGGGACCTGGATTACTACACGCGACTGTTCCGCGAGCGCGTGGGCCGGAACCCGACGAGCGTGGAATGCTTCGACATCGCGCAGTCAAACAGGCAAGCGAAGCCAGCGCCGGCACAAGTGATTTAGTTGGCATACACACACACACAACAACCACCAATCGCCACTAAGTGGCTGTGACATCATCAGGGCGGTTGTGCCAGCCTTGGTGCACTTTGAGGCCACATGAAGTGTCGATGCCTCACCGGCCGGAGGTCACGAATCAAACCCAGGTGCCGTGGGTTGACTGACTGAAATGACTGGTAGATGAACCACCTGTGGCCCCCTACTGTGCCAACCTGCAAGTGCTTTAGCCGCTCCTTTGCCCTCCGCTGTGGTTGGAGAGCTACTGCCTCCAACTGTCCAGTAGCGTCCTTCACGAGTCTCCTACGCACCACACCTGGCCACCTTTGTCTTCCTAATGGCGATGTTTACACACCGTACCAGGTACTCATTTGAGGCCGAGTCGGCCTAGGGGAGTGCCCGGACTGGTTCAGATAATTGTCACTGGTGTTAGCCGTGAGCTGGAATGGAAGTCGGGTCGCTGGGTTCGTAGTGCAGCACGCCAACTGCTACCTTACCGCTCCCCACGGTGGTACATACACGCACAGATCTCCATCACGATTTTAATCCAAGCGAGGAGAGACGCGCAGACACACACAAATCCCGTTCCTATAAAACATTGCTTATGTGGCCTATCCCATAAATTAGCTGCCAATCAAAGCCATCCGCGTGTGACTTTAGGTTTCCCGTAATGTGGGCCGTTTAGTTTGCATCAGCTTTTTCATGATCAGATTTGCGCATGAATTACATTTCATAATGATGCCACTTGACACCGCTATTGTGTCACTTCCTGTGACATAATTTATCCGTGTCAACCAAAAGCTATTTTTCCGCACGGGTCGTCCAAAATTTTGTGGATATTCCCTGGTTTGTGTCCTGTGCCTGCTCGTACGGCTAGCGCCGGGAGACGCCATCACGCCTTTACGTGACTCCCCACCTCCTGCGTCCCTCCGCAACCCCGCGACCCCTCACGATCCCGCGACCCTGTGACCCCGTGTTGTGCAGCGAACACAGCCGCCATTGGCTGTTCCGCGGCCGCCTCACCGTGGACGGCCAAGCCTTGGAGGAGTCGCTCTTCGACATGATCATCGGCACTCAGCAGCACAGCAACCCCAACAACGTCATCAAGTTCAGCGACAACAGCAGGTCGGTTGGGGCATCACAGTCTGAGCAGCATTTCCTTATCCCACGGTGCTCTCGGCATCGCACCAATAGCACTCGGCCTCTGTGCGTTGTGCAAGAAACCATGAGCACTTCCTGAAGACATGTATTGTGGTGCATCAAAATAAATTGGAGTAAATGTGACTGCCTGACAGCAGCAGCAACGGTGATGTAGAGGACAACTTGGGAATCGTGTCATCCTGATTGAGACTCATCATTGCAGTGTGGTCACCAATGCTCACTGCTGCAGACTGGGAGCCAGAGATGTGGAGTCCCCACTGACCACACTGGGGCACTCTGGCTGGGCTCATGTCAGCAATGATCGAATCTCTTAAGTGATGAGAAAATACCATCGCAACGGAATAATAGTGCAGGCGGACAGCCAAGAGAATACAAGGGTACGCTGATTAGGTTTGTAATGATTCACTCCTGCTGATGATGGTGTTGCTGCTGCTGATCAAGTTACCAATAATGCAGATTTTGCTGGTATTTTTATTTATTGTTATTATGCTTTGTTTACCCAGGAGGGCCTCGGTAAGTCTCGAAATTTTCTTCAGGAGGGTCCTGCTAGGTTGTCGTCGTTGGGGGCGATGTTGCAGCTGCTGTGTAATTTGCAGAAACATGTTCAGGATTGGGATGTTTGGCGAACAGCAGTTACATTGAATGTTGAGTGTTTTGGCTATGGGAGGGAACTGAAGAACCTGGAGGAAAGCCATGCAAAAGAGGGGGAGAGAATAAAAACTTCACACACGAATTGAACCCAGGCCCTGCTTGCTGCATCACACTGGTGTTTGTGACTTTGACACATGTGTGTGCGTGAAGCTGGCGTGTTTGTACTCGTGAAGCTGGCATGTGTGTACGCGAGTAACCTTAGCGCGTGTGATGCTGGCGTGTGTGTGGTTGACGCTGGCGCGTGTAACGCTAGTGCATGTTGGTGTGATGCTGGCGTGTGTGTGTGGCACTCGCGTGTGTGCGTGTGATGCTGATGCGTATGACGCTGGCATACATGACGCTGGTATACATGACGCTGGCGCGTGTGACGCTGGCCTCGTGTGCGTGTGACACTGGCGTGTGTGTGCATCTCGGAGCGCAGCGCCATACGCGGAGGGGAGGTGCGCTGCCTGGTCCCCGCGGAGCCCGGCGCGCCGAGTGCGCTCCAGGAGACGCTCACCACACGGCACGTCATCTTCACGGCCGAGACTCACAACTTCCCCACAGGTACCGCCGCCTCCTTTCTCAGTTCCCTCTCGGTGGCGATCCAATCAACGGTGCGAGCGTCGATGCGTTGATGCTCGTCTATTGGCTGAAGACGTTTCAATTGATAGAGGACCGCAGAGAGATATTGGTTCCCCAGTGACTGTGAGAGATGCAATTTGCTGCTTAATACGAACACTTTATACAAGTACCATTATGTCTGTCTGCGACGGAGGATTGGGTTCTCCCAAGATCTCCACGTTCTTCCCCTTCCCATAAAGCAATCATCTCTATTAATCGGCTTTCGTTCCTCTCTTAAAGCAACCCCCAGACCATCATCGTCCTGCTACTCCCTGCCCCCCAGCTACGACCAAGCCTACCCCAACCACCATCACTACCCCTATCACTACTCCAGCCCCTATCACTACTCCAACCACCATCACTACTTCTAGATTTGAAGCTTTTGTGACTGCAAGGATTCATACTCTTAGGTTTTTTCGGTAAAGTCACGTAGGTAAAAATTTTAAATTAATAATTATTGTACTTTTATTAATAATTATTTTACTTTTATTAATTAGAATTATTTACCTACGTGACTTTACCGAAAAAAAACCTAAGAGCACCATCACTACCCCAACCACCATCACTACCCCAACCACCATCACTACCCCAACCACCATCACGACCCCAACCACCATCAGATGAGTGGTAAGGTCCCAAGCGCTGACTCCGTGGCTGCCGTGCCAGGTGTGGCGCCGTTCAGCGGGGCCACAACCGGGACGGGCGGGCGGATTCGCGATGTGCAGAGCACGGGCCGCGGCGCCCACGTCATCGCCGGCACCGCCGGGTACTGCTTCGGCAACCTCCTTATCCCCGGTGAGTCGCTGTCGGCGACGGTGGCCGACCTCCTCCTGCACAGCTCCCATGCACGACTCCGGCACACCACCGATGTTGTGTATGGATGGCGGTGCGTGGTCGCGTGTGCGAGTGAGTGCGCCCCTCCACGTGCGCTTGCCCGTTCCCAACCGCGCGTTTCTCCGTGCACTTGAATCCCCCTGTCGTGGCGAAGCCTCCCTTACCGGGCTGGTTCTGCCAGCTTGTTGACGTCAGATACAGACGGATTCGGCGTCTCCCAGCTCCGCTTGTGGGCGAACGAGCGGCTGGGGCCCGCGCCGAGCATTCGACGGCCAAGCGCGGTTATTTATTTATTTGTGTAATTGTGAGCGTTGGCGACGTTGCCGTGGTGCAGGGCGACGTTGCCGTGGTGTTGTGCGGGCGTTGGCTATTTGTGTGCCAGCGTCGCAACGAGGCCCCGCGATCTTTGACTCCCACCGCGAAGCACACGGCAGGCAGTACTCGTGTTTCACGGTTATTGCGACCGCGGTGCTAACCGCGCCGGCCGGCAGGAGTAGAACCGCGAGCCCCGTAAGTAGCAGCCGGGCCGCGCCACGACCCCCACGGGGGGGGGGGTCTGCGATGCTGAGCGAGCTGCACGGTCCGTGGGCCAGGGTACGAGCTGCCCTGGGAGGACTCCTCGTTCCGGTACCCCGGCAACTTCGCCACCCCGCTGGAGATCGCCGTCGAGGCCAGCAACGGGGCGTCGGACTACGGCAACAAGTTCGGGGAGCCGCTGCTGGCAGGTTGGTTGGTCGGTGGCCCCCACCCCCCTGGACCCCCCTTGCAAGGCCCCCTTCCCAGGGTCCCCCCATGGTGGCGATGGGCACATGGAGCGAGTGCTCGAATTCCCCCCACCACCGGGCCCTCCCCCCATGTGTGATCCTATGGCAACCGTAGTTTGATTCCTGGTCACGGCCAACAACAGTGACGATAAAACTGAACTGGTCCCCTAGGTCGACTCAACCTCAATGAGTATCTGGTGCGGTGTGTAAACACCCGGGAGACAGGTGGCTGGGGATGGAGCTAGCCACTCACCCCCTCACGTGCCGTGCCGGCCTTCCTAGGTGCTCGCTAACAGCACTTGCCCGCAACAGTCTGTTACAGGCTGTATGGGGGGATGTTTTGTGTGTGAACTCGGTGACCCCTGTTGACCCCTGATGGCCCCTGATGACCCCCATGTGCTGCACACAGGCTTTGCGCGCTCCTTTGGGCTGCGCCTGCCGAGCGGCGAGCGTTGCGAGTGGGTGAAGCCGGTGATGTTCAGCGGCGGCATCGGAGCCATCGAGGATCGGCACGTCGGCAAGATGCCGCCAGAACCCGGTGCGTCCTTCCCGCTCGGGCGGGAGCCTCGCTAATCGGACCGCGGGGAATCTCGCGGGCGGCCTGCAGAATGCCGCGATGTGGTGCCTAGCGTTTAGCATCGCTTACTCGGCTTTGCGTTTTCCATGTTTTAGATCCTGATGGTGTTCGTGAAGTAACAAACTCGTTGATGACCGTGGTGATGATCAAGGAGCTATTGCCCATAACTCATTGAGTGAAAACATCTTAATATGTAGAGAACTGCAGAGCGAATGTTGGCTCATCGTGTGGCAGCCCTGTAGCTCGTACGTTGAACTTCTTTTGCGCCGCACGTAGCACGATTAAGCGTATTAATCGTGCTAATCGGAGGTGTCCGTGGTTCCTCAGCGATTGTGAAATGCCATTGGCATAAATGATGACGCTATATAAAACTAATCATATAATTGCAGTTGACTCACTTTGAACCGATCTCTATTTGCACCGGAAGTGCGTGGACGCGCAGCAAGGGAACGATACAATTGTGAAGTGCGGGGAGACCGGTTTCGCGAGAATTGCCGTGCTCTGATGAACGGCGACGTGCCGTGGTCACGCAGGCATGGCGGTGGTGAAGATGGGAGGCCCGGCGTACAGAATCGGCGTAGGAGGAGGGGCAGCCTCTTCCGTCGAGGTGAGAACAGGAGCCAGCACCACCGCCGTTTTCGTCACACAAACGGAAGACGCCCCACAGGCGATGGGCGCCGCTCTCGTACCCCTGCGAACCCCGGCTCCCGTGGCCCCCGCCCGACTTTACAGGTTCAAGGGGACAACTCGGCGGAGTTGGACCTGGGCGCGGTGCAGCGCGGCGACGCGGAGATGGAGCAGCGAATGAACCGTGCCCTGCGTGGCTGCATCGAGATGGGTGGCGACGCCAACCCGGTGCTGTCCATACACGACCAGGGTGCGGGCGGCAACGGTGAGACGCCCGCAGGGTAACCCGGCGTGTGGCGCGGTGGCGTGAGCCGGTGGCGGCGACGATGCCCGTTATCCATCAAGCAACCGGGCCATACTGGGGCCGTGCTGAGGCTGCGCGGCTCTGGAGGGCGCCAAGTTTTTCGACTGCAGAACCGAGCCGTGCCGCCGACTTTGTCACGTGATTGATGAGTTTGAGAAGCATGCAGGTGACACAGCGATGCCGCGTTTGATTGCTCACCCATTGGCGTCGCACGCAACAAACGAGTCGAGATGCGTGCAGATGACGCGGTGCGCAGGCCGCAGACAAACGGATAACATTTGCACGTCGGAGTGTTTTTAAACGATGAAACGTAACAGCAATGCTAGCGTGCTTTCCATTTCAGGAGCAATCGTGCCGATAATGCGCACATTGGGGACTGTGATGTCATCTTGATGTGCAAAGCATGCTGGGACTTTTTTTTGGTTTTCATCTCGGAAGACTCCTGCGAATAAACGTGGAACGTCGGGCCTATGTCGGCCCAACGGTTCCAACCGCACGCCAACGTCGGCCCAACGTCGCGCTCGAACCGGGTTGTTGCGTGCGAGAGATCCACACTGAAACGTCCTCTTTGTTTTTTCTCCTGACGAGGTGACGCCAGACGGCTCAGTTGAACTCCCCGTGGGAGGGATCCCCCCAGCTAATGAGATGGATTCGGTTTCGTTGCAGGAAACGTTCTCAAGGAGCTCGTGGAGCCCGCCGGAGCCGTGATCCACGCGTCCAACTTCTCGGTGAGAACCCAGTGCCGTGCTGTGTCGGTGATGCTGGGCAGGGCGACTACGACTGCAGTGTGTGAAGGGGAGCGGTGGTGTTGCAGTTAGCGTGCTGCGCTACGAACCCGGCGACCCGAGTTCGATTCCCGCTCATGGCCAACACCGGTGACGATTATCTAAACTGATCCTGGACCTCCCCTAGGTCAACTCAGCCTCAAGTGAGTACCTGATGCGGTGTGTAAACATCGCCACTGGGCAGACAAAGGCGGCCTGGCGTTTTGCTGGCCATCCTCCTCGTGTGCCGTGGCATCCTTCATCGATGCTCACTAACAACACTTGCCCCAACAGTCTGTTAAAGCTATACGGGGGATCTTTGTTTTTGATGGAGGTGATGATGACGCCGCTGGTGACGCCGGTGGTGATGCGGATGGTGACGACGGTGGTGACGGTGGTGGTGATGCTGATAATGGTGACCATGGTGACGACGACGGTGGTGACGACGGTGGTGACGACGGTGGTGACGACGGTGGTGACGACGGTGGTGACGACGGTGGTGACGACGGTGGTGACGACGGTGGTGACGACGGTGGTGACGACGGTGGTGACGACGGTGGTGACGACGGTGGTGACGACGGTGGTGACGACGGTGGTGACGACGGTGGTGACGGTTACCATGGTGACGTCTGTGCAGGTGGGGGACCCGACGCTGAGTGCGCTGGAGCTGTGGGGCGCCGAGTACCAGGAGAGCAACGCGCTGCTCGTGTCGCCGGGCGGGCTGCCCGCACTGCGCCGCCTGTGCCGCCGCGAGCGCTGCCCGCTGGATGTCGTGGGCACGGTCACCGGCGACGGCAGGGTGCGTCGCCGGCGATTGTGCGGACGAGCTTCGCCACTCGATTTTGCCTCGCGAGGGGTTCGTAACGCCGTCGCCGTCGCGCGGCGCGCCCAGAGGCGGCCAACTTGAGTGGCGGACATCTGCCGAGCCGGCCCGGGGACTCCCGTAGATCGACTCGGCCTTAACTGGGTAATCTGGTGCGGCACGTAATCTTCAGCAATGGGGGAGACAAAGGTGGCAGGGGGCAGTGCGGGCCACGTAGACGTTCGCCAGCAGCGCTTGCCCCCAGCAGCCCGTGAGTATGTTCAACTTCTTTCGCACCGGACGTAGCCAACCGTGATAATTGGAGGTGCAGGGGAAGGACAACAAATTAAACACAACAAACCGTTCGAAAGAAATGAGTTTTCATTCTGGCATAAATTGCATAGCTCCACTGGCTTCTTATTATTGGAAAGAAGAGCATTCCAGACGGCTTTTTAAGTGTATCTGAAAGCGGTCAATGCAGTGACCCTCTTTGTTAGATCGTTAGCCAAAAGCTGCTATGAGGATGACTGGAGTCGCTTGATGGTTTACACTCCTTAACTAAATCGGCAAGGTATTGTACTTCATTTGTGGCAAGCACTTTAGTGTAATGAGTGCTGAGCTGCATTGGCTTCCGGCAGTCGGAAGCCAATGGAGCTCGGCTATCACCGAACGGACATGGTCAGAACTTGCAGTACCCATCACGACACGGGCCAAAGAATATTGTACACGCTGTAGCTTGCTAATGATTTTACCATACGTCCCATAGAGTAGCGAGTTGCAATAATCGAGCCTTGTAGATACTATGTATCGTAGGGCCCTGATATGATCATTGCAGGCCCTCACTGTATTTTGCACGTGGTGATCAAACGACATTTTGGTCGAGTATGATGCCGAGGCTCTGTGACCGCCACACCCGACCAATGTTTTAGTGTGAGCCGCGCGTGGGATCTCCGTGGATGGCGGAGGGGGCGGCTCGTGTTCGTGAGCGGCGCTCGTTCTCCCGGTGGCGTGCTCCAGGTGGTGCTGGTGGAGGACCGGGCGGGGCAGGGTGGCGGTGCCGGTGGTGCAGGACGCGGCCCGCCCCGTGGACCTGCAGCTCGACTGGGTGCTCGGCAAGATGCCCCGCAAGGTACCCGTCTACCGGCACCCAACGAACGTCGAGCAAGCGACGGATTGCGCAGGTGGAGTGAGTTAATGGCCTCAGCCTGGCTCGCATAGAGACCCACAGACTCACACAGAGACACACATACTCACATATGTATGTATGTATGTTGAACTTATCTCGCACCGCACGTAGCGAACATTCGAGGTGCGGGAAAGGACAACAAACTAAACTCGCAGAGAACTACAGACTCGCATAGAAACCTATTGACTTTTGCATAGAGATCCATAAACGATAGACTTGCATAGATACCCACAGACTGGGTTCTCAATTGTAGTGAGTATTGTAGTCTCATCCTGGACACCAATGCCTGTACACAAAAAAAACCATTCACGTTTAATTAGAACTTCATTAATCTGCGGGAGCGGGGAGACAGTCACGCGAGGGTGAGGGAGCGGGGAGACGGTCACGTGAGAGTTCCCTGCGCCATGTTACCTGGCTGTGCAAAGGAGTTCGTGATGGCGCACGAGAACGTCGCCCTGGCGCCGCTGCATCTGCCCGATGGTCTGAGCGTTCGTCAGGCGCTGGAGCGAGTCCTGCGCCTCCCGTCGGTCGCAAGCAAACGCTACCTCACCAACAAGGTACGGCGTCGTCGTCGTCATCGTCGTCAGCATAGCTATTGTCTATTGTGGTAGATGTTCACATATCTGACCTGTAGAATTTCACATCTGACCTGTAGATGTTCACATATCTGACTTGCTCACAAGTCTGCCTCTACCCCTATCCATGACGCCGCACTGCATTGCGTTTCCTCGGAGACAGCAGGGTGGAGTGGTCGGGTTGTTCCATCGTGTTCCCTTGGGCCTACGAACCACGACCGCCACAGACCTGGCCTGTCGCATTGTACTATGGCGGAGGCTGGGACGGGGACAGTGGTGAGAGGCGGTGGGGCACTGCCGTGGAGGGGTCTGTAGACTAATTTTTCTGCGCCTCTTCTCCCCCCGGTGGCTGTGGTGCACGGCGCTGGCAGGTGGACCGCTCGGTGACGGGCCTGGTGGCCCAGCAGCAGTGCGTGGGGCCTCTGCACACGCCGCTGGCCGACGTGGCGGTCGTGGCCCACTCGATGTGCGGCACCGTCGGTGCGGCCACCAGCGTCGGGGAGCAGCCCATCAAGGGCCTCGTGGACCCGGCTGCCGGGGCCCGCATGGCGGTGGGGGAGGCCCTCACCAACCTGTGCTTCGCCCGCAGTCTCCGCCCTCAGGGCAAGTTGGCGTCGCCTGCTTGCGGCCTGGGTCTCTGCTACTGGGGCCCAGTGCTGCTCGATCATCGCGACTCACAGAGCCAAATAAATCCCAACTGTGAAATGTTCTTCTCGTTTTCACACTGCCACTCAAAGTACCCAAAACTTTAATACTCAAACATAGAAAAAAAAATTCTATACAATGCGAAAACTATAAACACGATCTGTAGTTTACAATTTAGAAGCAAGTTGTGGCAGTGAGTTGTTGTATGCAACCAACTCGCAACAGAGGCGAGGAGGGCTGTGGGTGGGGGTGGATCGGCCACTGAGCGGCACGAAGTAGGGGAGTCTGTCCCAGAGAACGGCTTTGGTCGACCTGAACCTCCGTGTAACGTTCGGTGTCGGTTTGTGATCCGTGCTACCAATCAGCCTCAAGGCCATCGGGCCAAGCTGATTTGCGCGCAGGGGAATGATTATTTAACTTTGATTTGACATTGATTTGCGACTCGTACAATATGTTCCATTCCTTGTGCGACATGGTTGTTTTTTGCGACATTGCTGTACTTTATTTTATTTGTTTTGGTTTTGTCATTTCGGTGACCCAGGTCGCCCTTGCAAATGCAACTCTTTTATGCTGGGTCTCTTGAGTCCTTGCCTTGGTCAAATTTCACGATGGGATACGTTGATTCCATTCGCCGTGCCGTCGTATTGCGCGTTCGCGTCGTCTGGTTTCCACTCGACGTCCTTCCTAGCATTGCGTTTCTCAAAACGATCCTAAAGTCTGCGGTGCATCCGACATGCCCTGATGCCCCTTCTCACCCGGGGATGGTGATTCGGCGCCTCCATTGTTTGCGTGGACGCGTGGTCCGCAGGACGTGAAATGCAGCGGGAACTGGATGTGGGCCGCCAAACTGCCCGGGGAGGGCGCGCGCCTCGTGGCCGCGTGCCGGGCCATGTGCTCGTGCATGCGCCAACTCGGCATCGCCGTGGACGGTGGCAAGGACTCGCTCAGCATGGCCGCCCGTGTCGGCTCCAACACCGTCAAGGCTCCCGGTGACCGCCCTCCTCCCCTTCCTTCTCTCCCTCCTCCTGCTGCCTATCATCATCCTCCTGCTCCTCCTCCCTCTCATCATCCTTCCCCCTCATTTTCCCTCTGCTCCTCCTCCTGGTCCCTCTCCTGCTGCTCCTCCTCCTCCCTCTGCTCACACTCCTCCTGCTGCTCCTCCTCCCACTCCCCCTCCTGCTTCTCCCCTGCCTCCTTCCCCTGCCCATACGCTGTGTGTCTCGTGCTGCGGTTCCATGAGTGGAGTCCACGGGAGCAAACTGTTGGCGCAAGTGCTGTTAGCAAGCACCTCTGAAGGCTGGCACTGCACAAGAGGGGGTAGGTGGCCAGCACCATGCCTGGCCGCCTTTGTCTCCCCAGTGGTGATTTTTACACAATGTAATCATTTGAGCCTGAGTCGCTCTAGGGGAGACCCCAGACCGGTTCAGATAATCGGCACTGGTTTCGGCTGTAAGCGGGAATTGAATTCGGGTTGCCAGGTTCATAGCACAGCGCTCTTACCACTACGCCACTGCTCCCCTTCACTCGCCCACTCACCCACCCACCCACTCGCTCACCCACTTATCCACTCACCCACTCACCAACGAACTCGCTCGCCCTCACACTCACCCAACCGCACACACGCACACGCCCACTCACCACACTGCAGCCGACCTCCCTTCTTCCCTCGCACCACTCCACTCTGCAGATCCCTGCCATCGTCTCTGTCTCCCCAAGCCCTGACAATCGTAACCTTGCTCAATGCAGGACACCGATTACCTCTTCACTATTACATCTTAAGTTAGTGCTGTTTGTTGCCGACCACTTGGCGTTTGGGCCCCGGGTCAGGCGACTGAGATGGTAACGACGCTGGCTGCCTCGTCCGTGTGTGCGTGCTCCCAGGTGACCTCGTGATTTCGGCCTACGTGGGCTGCCCTGACATCACGGCCACCGTAACCCCAGACCTCAAGAGCCCGGATGGCGAAGGTTCGCGTTGGGCTCTCGTGCGTGCGGAGGGGGGGGGGATCCCTACTGTTCGCTGGAATTATCTCAGAAGCTGTCCAGGAGTTTGTGGAAATCGGGGGCCGTCGTGTAAATTGTAATGGACACATCGGTCGTATTAATATTATTACGTGGGAAAATATCCAGGAGTGAAAACGGCAAAGTTGTTAGACTCCAGCCATGGTAACCGCACGGGAGCCTGCGCTCGGCGACACAACAAAACAACAACCAGAAGGGGACGTGAGGAGGGGACGCTGGAGAGTAAAGCAGGGGGATTGGCACAGCGGGAGGAGGAGAGCTCAGAGGCGCCTGAGACCGAGCGAGGCAGCGACGCAGGCTGAAGAGAACCACGGACGATGACCTCGTCGCGTTACCTGCAGAGTGACGAGACGGATCGATATCCGTTCGCGCTTCTGGAGGTCACCCGAAGCGGGGCCTCGTTAGCGAGAGATGAGGCGCTGCTTCCAACGCCCTGCGTTAGAAGGCGGCAGCCCTCGATGTTGGCGCCTAGCCGCTGAACTTCTTTCTGTGCGCAAGGATGCAGTGTAATACCCCCGCAGATTGCTCGTGGCATGCTCCAGTCAGACTCTGCAGAGGTTCATTGCCGTCCGGTCGTTCGCATCATTGCGTTGTGCGAACGATAACGGAATGCCGAAGAGTGGGAAGCTGTATCAGGGCGACGTCCATGGCGGAGCGTCGATGATCCCGTGACATTCAAAAGAGAGTGGGCCACGCGTGCCGGTGTTGGGCAACAGCGGCTTGGCATCCTGGCTGCCTGCCGTGGAACTCCAGCCAGAATCAGAATACAGTGGAACCTCGGTATACGTCGTTAATTCGTTCCAGAAGGTAGGACTTATACCGAAAATGACGTATACCAAACGAATTTTTCACATTAGAAATAATGGGAAAGGAAATAATCCGTACCAGAGGAAAATAAATGATATTTTACGGCATATTATACATTAATGGGGTTGTATAAAATAATTTAGTCACGTGGCGTGCCTCAACCCCGCACGTAGCACGCGCCTCGACCCGGGGCTCCACCCTCCATGAGGGCAGCCCCCCATGCCCCCCGCCCCCCGCCCCTCTCCCGCACGCTTCCCGCCCCTCTCCCCCACGTACCCCGCCCCTCGCCACCCCGCCCCTCTCGCTTTGTTTCAGTCGTGAACGGAGCACACACGGCTGTAACGCGGTGACTCATTCCGACCCATACAAGTTCTAGCAAACGCGTCGTATCCCAAGAAAGACGTCGTATCCCAAGAAAGATGTCGTATCCCAAGACATTTTTTTCTCGAAAAAAAACGACGTATACCAAATTCGACGTATTCCAAAGCGGTCGTATACCGAGGTTCCACTGTATTCATTGTGGAGGAATCCAGTGAGCTATTAAGTAATTTTTTCACAACGCCAAGAGCGCTCGCGGTCTGATTGAACGTTGCAGGGGGTGGGGAAGTATGGCCGTGCGGTCGTGGACAGCTTTGTCGGCTGGCGTGTGCGTGCAGGCGTGCTGCTGCACGTGTCCCTGGGGCCCGCCAAGCACCGGCTGGGTGGCAGCGCACTGGCGCAGTGTTACGGGCAGATCGGGGACTCGAGCCCCGACATGGATAGCCCGGAGACGGTGGTGGCCGGCTTCAACGTCACGCAGGAGCTGCTGGTTGGTGAGTCGCCCTCCCACCCACTCGCTCCCCCGCTTCCCTCACCCCCACTACCCCCCCTCGCTCTGATGTCTGTGTGTGTGCGTGTCTTTGTGGGGAGCGGATGTGGAGTAGCGGTTGGCGCACTGCGGTTCGAACCTGGCGACTCGAATCCGATTCCCCGCTCTTGGCCAACACCAGTGACGTTTTTTGTGAACCAGTCCTGGGCCTCCCCTATGTCAACTCGGCCTCAAATGTACTTGGTGCTATGTGTAAACATTGCCGCTGGGGAGACAAAGGCGGCCGGGCGTGGTGTTTGGCCACCCACCCCCTCGTGTGTCGTACCAGCCTTCATAGGTGCTCGCTAACAGCACTTGCCCCAACAGTCTGTGAAGGCTATACTAGGGATCTTTGTCTTGAGGAGCTCACAAATCCTTGAAAGATCTGGACACAGTACCATCGGTGAGCTCCGGCAGGCAAGGCTGCGTTTGCTGGGTCATGTAGCCCACATGCTCAGCTACCACATGCCTAAACAGCTATTGTTTAGCCGGATAGAGGGGGCTAAATGGGCGCGGCACAGGCTGGAGAAGGGATTAAATGATAAAAGTGATATGGTCCGAGAGGATATGGAGTTGAGTGGACTTTGCCAATGATTGGTACCAGCGGTGTCAACATCGGCCTCTGTGGAAGAGGCTCGTGAAGGATACTCCTGGGCAGTTGGAGGCAGTCGCCTTCGAACAACAATGGAGGGCAGAGGAGCGCTCGCAACAACAAGCGGAGTGACGGACGGCTAAAACACAGCAAGTTGGCACAGTGGGGGGCATAGCTGGTGCATCTGCCAGTCATCTCAGTCACTTAACCTATGGCACCTGGGTTTGCCAGTGGGCATTTCACACTTTACGGCTGTTGTGTTTGCATCTGTGTGTGCGTGCGTGTGTGCGTGTATTTGTGTGTGCGTGTGTGTCTGTGTGTGCGTGCGTGTGTGCGTGTATTTATGTGTGCGTGTGTGTCTGTGTGTGCGTGCGTGTGTGCGTGCGTGTGTGTCTGTGTGCGTGTGTCTGTGTGCGTGCGTGCGTGCGGCAGAGCACGCGATATCGGCGGGACACGATGTGAGTGACGGCGGACTGCTCGTGTGTCTGCTGGAGATGGCCTTCGCTGGGAACCGCGGCATCGATGTTGAAATGCCGGGCGAAGCCGGCTCCTCCGGTAGCGATAGCCCCAACACTCAACACACTGACCCTGCCCTGACCTTAACCACAATGGCCCTGCCCTGACCCTAACCACACTGCTCGTGTGTGTGTGTGTGCGTATATGTGTGCGTGTGTGCGCTCGTGCACACGTGTATACGCATGTGCGTGAGTAGCACTGGAGCTGCTCTTTGCCGAAGAGCTGGGCCTGGTGCTGGAGATGTCTCCGGCTCTCGCTGATGCCGTGTGCCGTCGCTACCGCAGCGCCGGCGTGGCGTGCAGGCGTGTCGGGCGCATCGTCGGAGAGGGGGAGACGGCGCAGGTCGCCCACTCACCCACCAACTTACTTACTCGTCCACCAACTCATCCACTCGCTCACCCATTCGCTCACCCACTCACCCACCCACCCACTCACTCACCCACCCACTCACTCACTCACCTTTTCACTCGCTCACTCATCCACCAACTCACCAACTCACCCACCAACTCACTCACTCACCGACCAACTCACCCACCCACTCACACGCTCACCAAACTTACCCACCCAAGCACCCACCGACTCCCCCACTCACCCACTCACTCACCCACCAACTCACCAACTCACTCTATCAATACCCACCATTCGCCACTAAGTGACGGTGACGTCACGTGTGCCAGGCCAGGTGCACTCACTCATCCACTCACCCACCAACTCACTCGCTCACCCACTCGGTCGCTCACTCACCCACTCACTCACCCACCCACTCACTCACCTACTTACCCACCAACTCACTTACTCCTCCACTCACTCACTTACTCACTCATGCACTAACCCACTCACCCACTTACCCACCACCACCCACCCACACATGGTGTGCAGGTGCGTGTGTGCGTGTCGGGAGAGGAGCTGCTGAGTGAGCCACTGGGCGCTCTGCGCGATGTCTGGGAGGCCACCGGCTTCGCCCTGGAGGAGCTGCAGGCCAACCCGGCCTGCGTGCGGCAGGTGAGGAGGAGGCTCGCTGGTGTCGCACGTCGTCCCCACCCCCACCCACCGGCGCGGTCATATAGAGCGCAGAGATGGCGGTACCTTCCGCGCTTTGCGTTACCACGCGAGCGCGACCCGCCGATTGCGGCGTTCCGATCTCCGTCTGGGGAGTTTCCCAGGAGCCGGGGGGATTTCAAAGGAAACGTTCTCATCGCTCCAACCGCCGCACCTCTGCATGGCAAGTCCAGTGCGTCGAGCGTGACTCCGCTACTCGTTGTCCATGACAGGAGCTGTGGGTCGTGTTGGGACTTCCTTCACGAGAGCCGTGGTCTGTGTTGGGACTTCCTTGACGAGAGCTGTGGGTTTGTGTTGGGACTTCCTTGACAAGAGCTGTGGGTCGTGTTGGGACTTCCTTCACGAGAGCTGTGGTCTGTGTTGGGACTTCCTTGACGAGAGCTGTGGGTCTGTGTTGGGACTTCCTTGACGAGAGCTGTGGGTCGTGTTGGGACTTCCTTGACGAGAGCCGTGGTCTGTGTTGGGACTTCCTTGACAAGAGCTGTGGTCAGTGTTGGGACTTCCTTGACAAGAGCTGTGGGTCTGTGTTGGGACTTCCTTGACGAGAGCCGTGGTCTGTGTTGGGACTTCCTTGACAAGAGCTGTGGTCAGTGTTGGGACTTCCTTGACAAGAGCTGTGGGTCTGTGTTGGGACTTCCTTGACAAGAGCTGTGGGTCGTGTTGGGACTTCCTTGACGAGAGCTGTGGTCTGTGTTGGGACTTCCTTGACGAGAGCCATGGGTCGTGTTGGGACTTCCTTGACAAGAGCCGTGGGTCGTGTTGGGACTTCCTTCACAAGAGCCGTGGGTCGTGTTGGGACTTCCTTGACAAGAGCTGTGGGTCGTGTTTGGATTTCCTCGATCATAATTTTGAGCAGCATGAGATCGCTCCGTAATCACAGGGGGCGTGACTCAAAGGCGGCACCCATTCTGCGATGATCGGATCGCTTGGTCCGTTGGGATCTTCGGCGGCGTGTACCGTGTCCCCCCCCCCCCAACCCCAGGAGCGCGAGGGGCTGTCCCGGCGCGTCGCCCCCCCTTACCGCCTGACCTTCGACCCCAGCGTTTCTCCAAGTGTTCCAAAGAGCCTCGGTAAGCTGACGAGTTTGCAAACATCCAGCCGCCATAATCGAGCGAGAAGAGGGGGGAATGTTATGAGCCTGGCCAGTATGCTCGACGTGTTTGCGCATGTGTGTGCATGCGTGCATCCCTGCGTGCCCGTGTGTGTCAATGTCTAGCCCACCTCAGCTGTTTGGAAGTCATGTTCCGTCCACATCAGCTCGCGTGCGGGTGCTGGGCGGACAATTACGTCGCAGGATCGTGAGACGATGACGGCTTGTGGGGGAGGCCTTCATCCAGCAGTGGATTGACCATGGCCGACGACATATCGAAGCGAGAAGCCCGTTGCCCTCCCCTCTTCTTTGCAGCGTCGGCGCGGCCCCTCGTGGCCACGGTCCGGGAGGAAGGCAGCAACGGGGACCGGGAGATGGCGGCGGCCCTGCACATGGCCGGCTTTGAGGTGAGGGAGTGCACGGCACGAGAGAAAGCACTCCGCTCCCACGGTTGCTCCACTCCGGATCGCTCCACGGTGAAGAACGACCTCGAGGGGAGAGCGAGCAGTGGCCTGGAGCATGGAGCTGGCACGGCTGAGGTTCGGCATTCGATCGCAGGCGGCCGCCCAGCCGACCGCGATGGGACCGGCGTCTCGAGTGCAGCGAGCCGTCGGGGACAGCCCGGTCACCGGTGGCTGGACGGCAACAAAATCACGTTTGGTTTAATTTCGCGCGTACTTTGGCAAATTTCTACCTCAAAAAACTTAAAGTATCGTTTTGACAGTCACGATGACTGTTGACTTGAGAGGTCATGGAGTGCGCGGTGAGGCCCCCCGGCATCCCCTCACGTCTCCACTCGAGCGCCGCGTGTGACGTCAATGGCACGGCTCCGCTTCTGCGGTGGAAACAAAACGTGACCCCTCCTGAACCGTCTGGCGGTGGCGTTGGCGGTGGCGTTGGCGGTGGCGTTGGCGGTGGCGTTGGCGGCAGTGTGGGGCCGTGTCCCCGCAGGCAGGTGTGGGACGTGACGATGAGCGACGTGTGCACGGGCGCCGGGACGCTTGAGCGCTTCCGAGGCCTCGTCTTCGTCGGCGGCTTCAGCTACGCGGACGTCCTGGGCTCCGCTAGAGGTCTCCCATGCCGGCCGCGGCACGACGCGAAGTGACCGTCACCTCTCCGCGCGACTCTCCGGTAGCAGTAGAGGCCTCGGAGAGCCGCCCACAGCCGCGGAGAATCAAAATCTTTCTTTATACTGGAGGAATCCGATCAGCTATAAAGCTCTTTTTCAAATGTGTCCAGTCGGGGCGGGTCAAAAAGTTACAACAACAAACAATACAAAAACAAGATAGGAATGCAAAGTATAGGAAAGGTAAACAAATCACTAGATATGACCAGGTAAAGACCACTGAGCTCTATTAGCATCTTTGTCAGATGCGACCTGGCCACGAATGATAGCGCAACAAAGTGGCTGATCGGGCCGCTGCTGCTGCTGTCGTCTGGAATTCTCTTCCTCCGCTTGAGCTCCGTGCTGCTGCTCCACCTCCCTCTACTCGAGGCTTGAGACCCCCTTTTAGTTTTCCAGCTCATTTAGATTAACACTATTTAGATTAACACCATTTAGATCAACACCCTTGTTTAACACCATTTAGACTTAACTACATTTAAATAAACACCATTTAGATTTAACTCCATTTAGATTAACGCCATGGATTTATTTATTTCCTCCTCCCCTGTGAAGCGTGTGGAGATGATGCAGTTGGCCTTGGACGCTATACACATGATCTCTATGCGATCTACATGCGATACACGTGATCCACACGTGATCTCTGTGATCTATACCTGCCCCACACGTGCCCCGCGTGCTGCAGGCTGGGCGGCGTCCGTGCTGTTCAACGCGAGCGCCCGCGCGCAGTTCGCGGCGTTCCGGCGCCGATCCGACACCTTCAGCCTCGGCGTCTGCAACGGCTGCCAACTCATGGCGCTGCTGGGCTGGGTGGGCGACGGCGCCGGTGAGGTTCCCCCATGCGCACACACACGCACACGCGCGCAGACACCACACGCGCACACACCACGCGCAGACACGCGCACACACGCGCAGACACGCACACACGCACACATGCAGACACGCACACATGCAGACACGCACACGCAGACACATGCGCAGACACGCACACGCAGACACACGCGCAAACACACACACGCAGACACGCACACACACACATGCAGACACGCGCACATGCGCACGCACAAAGATTCCCCGTGTAGCTCGCACACACTGAGGGGTGAGTGGTCGGCACCGCGCCTGGCCGCCTTTTGCAGGTGGCCCAGGACTGGCTCGGATATACTCTGCCACTGTTATTGGTCGTGAACAGGGTTCGAACTCGAGTTGCCGGGTTTGTAGCACAGTGGGCTAACCACCGCGCTACTTTACGTGTGTGTATGTATGTTGAACTTGTTCCGCACTGTACCTAGCCAGTCGTGTTAATCGGAGGTGCAGGGGTAGGACAACAAACTAAACACAAAGAGCAGCTCTCAAGAAATTAGATTTCAATCTCGATTTAAAAGTGCATCGCTCCAGTGGATTCCAAATACTGCTTCCCAAAAACCTGCGCGTGCGGTCTGTCTGCACGCACACGGACAGTGCGCATCACAGCCTGTGTGCTATGTTTGTGCACACGGACAGCACACGGACAGCACACGGCACAGCCGCACGGTAGCCAGCTGAGCAGCTTGCTCCACTGCTGGTGCAGGTTTGTTGAATAGTCATTAAAAGTCGATTCTTAGACGCGTGATGCGGGGATCTTCAGAGTCTCCGTAAAAATGTGACGGAGAGGTTTGAACGAAGGGACCACGCGGATTGTCCAGACACACCGACGGGACGGAGACGAAACCCGGTGAATGAATGTGCGTGTGCTGCCCCGCCTTGTCAATCTACTGCCGGATGAGAGCCTGCCAACGTCTTGTGGGCCACGAGTGATATTCTTCACCACGCTGGTCGGCGCGTGTTGGTGATTGGGGGGCGGGGGTGGAGACCAACGGTGAAGTTTGCTGCACGAGTTGAGCGGCGGTGGCTATGCACGTGGCCAGTAATCCAGCACTGGAGGCGGCAGCGAGGGTTGGCGGATCACGCACAGATGCTCCAGAACTCCCTTCCCATGGGCTGCAAGGTGGTGCCGTACCCTCGCGAGCAGAAGGTGGTAGACAAAGCGCGGACTCCACCTGTCCCGTTCGTGCGGGGATAGAGCGTTGCACCTTCGCACAAGTGGCCTTTCTCTGACTGCTCCGGTTTCTGACCAATAGCCCCTGAATACATAGAGGATGGCAGAGCTTGGGAAAGTGTTGGTGCCGGCTGTTTGGAACGGAGTTCCATGTGTCGGTGGTTCCTCCGCCCCGCGCCGAGCGGCACGTTATTATCCGTACATCACCACACCTATACAACACGCACGGCGGTGGTCGGTCCATCCAAGCACGGTGCAGGCTGAGGGTTTGCTTGGCTTCCGAGATGTGCAGCGAGTCCGGCCGCGTTTCTGCGTTGGTGTCGTCGCGAGATCGATCGCTCCGCGCGCCGGTACCCTAATGGTGGTGGCGCCCGAAGAACATTACCGTGCATGTGTGCGTGTCCGTGCATGAGCGCGCATGCACGCGTCCGCCTGTGTGCGTGCGTGTGCGCACATGCACGTGTCCGCCTGTGTGCGTGTGTGTGTGTGTGGGGAGCAGTAGTGTAACGGTTAGTGCGCTGCGCTACTGTAATAAAAGGACTCGAACACTTCTTTCTGTCTTCGTGTCTTTATTCAGGTTCACGTCTTTACCCACACGGCACTCTGTTATAACTCCTGTATTTGTAGCCCCCGGCTATTCACTGCTATTATAGCTTCCTCACCCCTCTGACTCTCTGCTTCATCTACTGTAACCTCCTCCCTGCAGACTCGCTGCTACCCCTATGTGCAGACTCCCGCTGCTACCCCTATGTGCAGACCCTCTGGCTGTCACTGTATGCAGACCCGCTGCCCACCCTCTCTGTGCAGCCCCGCTGCTGACTGCAGCCTCCTTGCTGCTTCGGGTCGGTCACCGCTGGCCAACGGTGCCGATCCTCGCTTCCCCCGTGTTCGTGGCGATCTCGCCACACCCCGCTTCGCCCTACGTGGCCTTCCTCTGTTCCTGGCTCCCAGTCACCCCCCCTGCTCTTCCGGTTCCCCTCCTTCTATACTCAACCCCTCTCCCCCCACGTGACCTAACTCCTCCCCCCCTGACGGCACCTCAGAAGGGCCGTTTACAACCGCATTACACTACTAACCCACCGACCCGAGTTCGATTCCTGCTCACGACCAACACCAGTGATAGCGATTATCTGACATGGTCCTGCACCTCCCCTAGGCTGACTCGGCCTCAAACGAGTACCTGGTGCGTTGTGTAAACATCGCTATTAGGGAGACAAAGACGGCCGGGCGTGGTGGTGGTCACCCACCCCCTGGTGTGCCATTCCAGCCTTCATAGGTGCTCGCTAACAACACTTGCCTCAACAGTCTGTTAAGGTTCCACGGGAGATCATTGTCTTTTTGCGTGCGCTCTGAATTTAAAAGGCGGCGTGGACGATGGCGGTGACGGCCACGAGGAGGCACTGGCGCCCGGCGTGGTGCTGGCATCCAACGTGTCGGGCCGCTTTGAATCGCGCTTCGTGAGCGTGCGCGTCCAGGAGGACTCCCCAGCACTCATGCTGAGCGGCATGGGGGGCTCCGTGCTGGGTGTGTGGGTGGCGCATGGAGAGGGTGAGTGGGGTAGGGAGAGGGTGAGCGGGGCAGAGGGAGGGCGGGCGGGGCAGGGAGAGGGTGAGCGGGGCAGGGAGAGGGTGAGCGGGGCAGAGGGAGGGCGGGCGGGGCAGGGGCAGGGAGAGGGTGAGCGGGGCAGAGGGAGGGCGGGGCGGGGCAGGGAGAGGGTGAGCGGGGCAGAGGGAGGGCGGGCGGGGCAGGGAGAGGGTGAGCGGGGCAGGGGCAGGGCGAGCGGGGCAGGGGCAGGGCAAGTGCCCCACGTGACCACCCCCCACGTGCCCCCCCCCCCCCCCCCACGTGCCCCCCACCCTCCCTCCAGGTCGCATGGCATTTAGCAGCGAGGAGCAGCTGGAGCGCCTCATCGCGGGCAAGCTGGCACCCCTCCGCTACGTGGACGACCAGGGCAGCCCCACCGAGAGCTACCCCCTCAACCCCAACGGCTCGCCGCGGTGAGCACTGCACCGTCCGCCGTGTCACCCGCCGCGACGCCCGTCGTGCTACCTGCCGTGTCATCTGTCACGTCACCGACCGTGTCACCCCCGCCACGTCAACCCCGCCGTGCCAACCGTCATGCCACCCACTGCGCCATCACCCGGGTGGCCCCGCGTGTCCGTCACGTGTGAACGGCCGAGAGCCGTGTGGGCCCGGAACCGGCGCGACTCGGATTGAACCTCGGCGGCCACCCTGTTCAATAAAAAAATCTCGCCACAAGTTACTCAATTGGGATTCAACTTATTTTGCACCGTACGCAGTCAACCGCGCTAATCAGAGGTGCGGGGGAAGAACAACAAACTAGACACAAAAGCATTTCTAAAGAAATGAGTTTGTCAATCTGGATGATTTAACAGTGCATAGCTCCAGTGGTTTCCTAATATCGGAAGGGTGTTCCAGACGGCCGCAGAAGCGCACCTGAAAGCGCGCGATGCCGTGACCATCTTTGTTCGATGGCTCGCTAAAAGCTGCTGCTGCTGCTGGGAGGGTGACCAGAGTTTGCGTGATGGTAATTTATGCTCGTTGAGCATATCGTGTTTCGTGATGCGATGCGTTGTTGAACGATAATGTCAGCGGGGAACCCATCGGTTTACAAACCTGGGCCCATGATGACCCAGCCGGGGGCACTCCGTGATCGCCTGGCACAGCGCAGCGTTGACCCCCCCCCACCGCCCCCCCCTTGCGTGCCGCACTAACCTTCACCGGTGGTCGCTCTCCGCGCTTGCCCCAGCGACACGGCTACACGGGGGCTTCCGGGGGCTTCGTCTCCGCCGTGAACTCCTCCAATTGTGACGTCTCGTCTCCCCCGGTCCCCCCTTGTGTGCGAGGTAGCGGGGTGGCTGCGCTCTGCTCGCCGGACGGGCGCCACCTGGCCATGATGCCGCACCCGGAGCGCTGCGTGCTGCCCTGGCAGTGGGCGTGGGCGCCCGCCGCGTGGCGCGGCTCCGTCACGACCTCGCCGTGGCTGCGCTTGTTCCGCAACGCTCGCGCCTGGTGCCTGCAGGACGGCGCCGCGGCGTCCCAATAGGCGACGGCGCCGCGCGACGGGACCCGCGGTTGCCGCCCGTGTCCCGGTGGTCCCCGCGTCGTCCTCCCTCTGGAGCGCCCTCTGGTGGAGACCCTCCTGCCGGCGATCGAGGGTCCGCACCCTGGCCCCGATGTGCCGCGGTGGGGGGGGCCTCGTTAACGACGCAGCTTCTGAACCATCTCTTCTGCTTCTCACGTCTTTAAAGACGAACCTGATTCTCCGGGACTATTCACATGCACAACTGTTCACCAGCCTAAATAATGAATGGGTCACAACCCACAACCTCTTTACCCCCCCCACTCCAGAACCAGCAGTGGAAATTCCACAGTGCAAAGGCAATGGCGTACCTGGTGGGACGTGAATACGTTGCGATTGGAGAGACAAAGGTGGCCGGGATTGTCGTTGGCCACTACTCTCCGTTGTGTGCCGTGCCGACCTTCATAGGTTGCTCTCTAACGACATTTGCCGCCCTGCTAGTCTGAAGCTATACGGGGATCTCTGTCATTGTTGTACGAGCTCATTGGCCTTGGGAGAGATGCTGTACGCACAAGGGGTGACCCCAAATCGCTGGTGTTCAACTCAATTGATTGCAGTGTGGAAATTCCACGTTCCCGTGGTATGGGCATAGTGCAGGCTTGCTGCTGTACAGCCGGCATGCCTCTATGACCATAGCTGCCTGCACTCGCTGTCTGCTCTTGGTGCCGCTGCTGTCCTCAGACGGCTGTAGTATTCCACGTGTCGCTGATGATCCTTGTTCCGAGCGAAGCTCCCCCGTCAGTCGGAGGCCCTTTCGCCAGCTCGCGGTGGCATGGAGCAGCCACTCGCACGGCTGTTAAAACGCTCGGCAATGCTCACCCACGCAAAACGTGAATTATTTAAAATAATGTCCGTCCCCTGCGTAGCCACTGCTTGATGGAAGGGGCTGCGCACTGCTCCGACAAACGCATCGCGCTGTATTTGCCGTGACCGTGCCTTAGGAACGTTTGCAATCTTCATTCATTCGTTCAACTGTTGCTGCTAGAACGCCGCCAATAAAACAAACGCAAGACCGCACGAGTTGTTTGTTTATGCCTCACTCTTTATTTTGGGTACAATTCCCGATGGTGTGAATTAGGCAGCGGTGGTGGTGCTGACAATGATGATGATGATGGTGGTGATGGTGGGTGGGTGATGATGATGGTGGTGGTGGTCGGGCTCGGTGTGACCCGGCATGGCTTCCCAGCGACACCATGCCAAGCGGTCTCCTGCCAGGGAGAGAACCCAGTGGGCATCCTCTGGGCTGAAGCTGAACGCGATTGGCGGCCGAGCACAACAAAGGCAATACACGCAATCAGAAACAAAGATCCCCCGTATAGTCTTAACAGACTTTTGGGGCAAGTGCTGTTAGCGAGCACCTATGAAGACCGGCATGGCACACGAGGGGGTGGGTGTCCAGCACGACGCCCGCACCGCCTTTATCTCTCCAGTGGCGATGTTTACACCGCACCAGGTACTCATTTTAGGCTGAGTCGACCTATGGGGAGCGCAAAACGGCCGTCGTCAGCCGCGCCAGGGCACCGTTTCTGGCACTAGCAGCCAAATCCAAGAGCACGCGCACAACACAACAACGTGTGTGCCAAGCAGCCGCGAGCCAGAAATACACACATCTCCGTACACGAATATCCGCGTATCTTCATCTCTTCCTTTGCGACGTCCAACCGAACGCCTTGTACAATAAACGCTCGCCAGCTGGTCGAGCGAAGTCTCACACCCGGGATCCCGGCACCGCTCTCGAAATCGCCGCGCCACTCGCCCTCAATGCATGTATCATTGCCCGCACGCGACCGCTTTGTCCGCGCCTCGAGCGAGCGGATGCGCAACGAGAGAGAGGGGGGAACACCGCGTGCCCTGCACCGTGGCGAGCCAATCACGCGGCTCGCGATTGTTGCGAGGAGAATGGAACCACGTGGCTACGAATCCGCCGCTTGGAGGAGTCCCGAGTTGCACGCAACCGATCGCTGCGGTGCGAACTCTGCGTAACTCGGGCACACACAGGCGCACAACTGTTGACAGGCGCGGGTGATTCCCGAGTGGGTGAGATACGGGGAAAGGACAAATGGCTAACGCGGGATGTACTGTCGTTCACGCCGGAGATGCTGCCCTGTGGAGGTTTTGCCGTGGGAGCGACCGCTTGGGCAGCAGTGCTACACCACCGCTCTGTGTCTCTCCCCACGGCACCACTCCCGTTGGCGCGACACACAAACATTGCTCCGTCTCCGCGACTCGGCGATCCGTGACGTCACTGTGGGACTGGGGGAGAGGGCAGGGCGGGAGGTGGGGGCTGGATCGGCCACTGAACGGCACGGAGGAGGAGAGTTCGTCTGTTCCAGCGAACAACAGCGAGGGTCTCTCCTGCGATTCTGAAAATACCGCGGCGCACCGGTTATGAGGCACCGGGAAGTGATCGTGCGTCTTGCCTTCATGTGCCGTTGTCAGCAACAAATCCTGGTGTTCATTAACAGATCTGCAGTAGCGCTAGTATATTTTTTGCTGCGTGTATTTTTCGGAAAGAGTCTTGTTCATGTATGGTTCAGTTGGAAAAAAAATCCTAGACTTATACTTGTGTTTACCTTGTTGATTCGGGGTTCCCCCGTGTGGCCAACTGGGCCCCTTTGTGTTGCATCACGCCCTACACAGACACTTCCAACAATACAAACGAGACGCCCTACACAGACACCACCAACAATACAAACGAGACGCCCTACACAGACACCACCAACAATACAAACGAGACGCTCTACACAGACACCACCAACAAGACAAACGAGACACCCTACACAGACACCACCACCAAGACAAACGAGACGCCCTACACAGACACCACCACCAAGACAAACGAGACGCTACACAGACACCACCAACAATACAAACGAGACGCCCTACACAGACACCACCAACAATACAAACGAGACGCTCTACACAGACACCACCACCAAGACAAACGAGACGCCCTACACAGACACCACCAACAAGACAAACGAGACGCTACACAGACACCACCAACAATACAAACGAGACGCCCTACACAGACACCACCAACAATACAAACGAGACGCTCTACACAGACACCACCAACAAGACAAACGAGACACCCTACACAGACACTACCACCAAGACAAACGAGACGCTACACAGACACCACCAACAATACAAACGAGACGCGCGACACAGACACCACCAACAATACAAACGAGACGCGCGACACAGACACCACCAACAATACAAACGAGACGCCCTACACAGACACCACCAACAATACAAACGAGACGCGCGACACAGACACCACCAACAATACAAACGAGACGCGCGACACAGACACCACCAACAATACAAACGAGATGCCCTACACAGACACCAACAACAATACAAACGAGACGCCCTACACAGACACCACCAACAAGACAAACGAGACGCCCTACACAGACACCACCAACAAGACAAACGAGACGCTACACAGACACCACCAACAATACAAACGAGACGCGCGACACAGACACCACCAACAATACAAACGAGACGCGCGACACAGACACCACCAACAAGACAAACGAGACGCCCTACACAGACACTACCAACAAGACAAACGAGACGCCCTACACAGACACCAACAACAATACAAACGAGACGCCCTACACAGACACCACCAACAAGACAAACGAGACGTACTACACAGACACCACCAACAATACAAACGAGACGCCCTACACAGACACCACCAACAATACAAACGAGACGCCCTACACAGACACCAACAACAAGACAAACGAGACGCCCTACACAGACACTACCAACAAGACAAACGAGACGCCCTACACAGACACCACCAACAATACAAACGAGATGCCCTACACAGACACCACCAACAAGACAAACGAGACGCCCTACACAGACACCACCAACAAGACAAACGAGACGCCCTACACAGACACCACCAACAAGACAAACGAGACGCGACACAGACACCACCAACAAGACAAACGAGACGCCCTACACAGACACCACCAACAAGACAAACGAGACGTACTACACAGACACCACCAACAATACAAACGAGACGCCCTACACAGACACCACCAACAATACAAACGAGACGCCCTACACATACACCACCAACAATACAAACGAGACGCCCTACACAGACACCAACAACAAGACAAACGAGACGCCCTACACAGACACTACCAACAAGACAAACGAGACGCCCTACACAGACACCACCAACAATACAAACGAGATGCCCTACACAGACACCACCAACAAGACAAACGAGACGCCCTACACAGACACCACCAACAAGACAAACGAGACGCCCTACACAGACACCACCAACAAGACAAACGAGACGCGACACAGACACCACCAACAAGACAAACGAGACGCCCTACACAGACACCACCAACAATACAAACGAGACGCGCTACACAGACACTACCAACAATACAAACGAGACGCCCTACACAGACACCACCAACAAGACAAACGAGATGCCCTACACAGACACTACCAACAATACAAACGAGACGCCCTACACAGACACCACCAACAAGACAAACGAGATGCCCTACACAGACACCACCAACAATACAAACGAGACGCCCTACACAGACACTACCAACAATACAAACGAGACGCTACACAGACACTACCAACAAGACAAACGAGACGCGCTACACAGACACTACCAACAATACAAACGAGACGCGACACAGACACCACCAACAAGACAAACGAGACGCCCTACACAGACACCACCAACAAGACAAACGAGACGCGACACAGACACTACCAACAAGACAAACGAGACGCCCTACACAAACACTACCAACAATACAAACGAGACGCCCTACACAGACACCACCAACAAGACAAACGAGACGCCCTACACAGACACCACCAACAAGACAAACGAGACGCCCTACACAGACACCACCAACAATACAAACGAGACGCCCTACACAGACACCACCAACAAGACAAACGAGACGCCCTACACAGACACTACCAACAAGACAAACGAGACGCCCTACACAGACACCACCTACAAGACAAACGAGACGCGCTACACAGACACCACCAACAAGACAAACGAGACGCCCTACACAGACACCACCAACAAGACAAACGAGACGCTACACAGACACCACCAACAATACAAACGAGACGCCCTACACAGACACCACCAACAATACAAACGAGACGCTACACAGACACCACCAACAATACGAACGAGACGCCCTACACAGACACCACCAACAAGACAAACGAGACGCTACACAGACACCACCAACAATACAAACGAGACGCGCGACACAGACACCACCAACAAGACAAACGAGATGCGCTACACAGACACTACCAACAAGACAAACGAGACGCCCTACACAGACACCACCAACAATACAAACGAGACGCGCTACACAGACACTACCAACAAGACAAACGAGACGCGCTACACAGACACTACCAACAAGACAAACGAGACGCGCTACACAGACACCACCAACAAGACAAACGAGACGCCCTACACAGACACCACCAACAATACAAACGAGACGCCCTACACAGACACCACCTACAAGACAAACGAGACGCCATACACAGACACCACCAACAAGACAAACGAGATGGACAACGCGAGTGAGACAGTCGACACGAGACATCACAAAAGCTACTTTTTAATCTCATCTTGGGGGTGGCTGACAACACAAACGTGGCGGTCTACAGGAGCCGGGACTAACGACACCAATAAGAGTCGAGACAGCTCAGTGGTGAATCACGTGGAGGGTGGCACTGTGACTCGCGATGTTCATCAGCGAGAACTCATTCAGAATGCACGTGTGGTTTAGCCCACTAAAGCTGGACTTGGCCAAATAAAATCCCAACATCATCATTATTATTGTGCAGTCATTTCTAACAGGGGCCGAGACCTGAGAAAGAGAATTACGGACGGACTGGGTTCCAAGAAAGATCCGAGATGTCTTCCTGCTTGAAACGAGCACGGGGTGCTC